AGGCTCTACTACACCTATTGTAGGTCTTCACTGGCCCATTAACACAATCCACAGCTGAGTGCTAACAAAGTCAGTATGTGGTAAGTCTGTAACAGCTGTCCTCAACTTTCACTGATAATTATTCTCATTTAAATGACATAATATTTAATATACTGTTGTTGAATGTAGTAATGGTAAAATTCATGCCTCAAGGGCTACAAGGGCTACAAGTTTTAGCCAGATACACTGAACTGTGATTTAATGGTGTAATATAGGCCTTTACATCATTTAGATGCATAGGTCACAATATCACTCTGTATAAACATCCATATGTTGCATATATTGTGATCATTCCAAAAGACAATTAAAACAAAATCAATACAAGCATGATTCTACCACCTTTAAAATAAGAAAACTACTGGACATGGAATTACATTCCATGCTTGTAATCACAGAATCACAGAATCAACCAGGTTGGAAAAGATCTCCAAGATCATCAAGTCCAACCCTTGATCCAACACCACTGTGGTTACTAGACCATGGCACTAAGTGCCACATTCATTCTCATCTTAAAAATCTCCAGGGATGGTGAATCCACCACCTCCCTGGGAAGCTCGTTCCAATGTCTGATTACTCCCTCTGTAAAAAATTTCTTCCTAATATCCAACCTAAACCTCCCCCGGCACAGCTTAAAATCATGCCCTCTTGTCCTACTGCTGGCTGCCTAGGAGAAGAGACTGACACTCACCTAGCTACGACCTCCTTTCAGGGAGCTGTAGAGATGGGGTCTCCCCTGAGCCTCCTCTTCTCCAGGCTGAATAACCCCAGCTCCCTCAGCCTCTCCTCACAGGACTTGTGCTCAAGACCCTTCACCAGCCTTGTTGCTCTTCTCTGGACCTGCTCCAGCACCTCAATGTCCTTCCTGAACTGAGGGGCCTAGAACAGGACACAGTACTACAGGTATGGCCTCACCAGCACTGAGTACAGGGGAAGAATCACTTCCCTGGTCCTGTTGGCCACACTGTTCCTGCTCCAGGCCAGGATGCCATTGGCCTTCTTGGCCACCTGGGCACACTGCTGGCTCATGTTCAGCTTCTTGTCCATCCAAACTCCCAGGTCCCTTTCTGCCTGGCTGCTCTCCAGCCACTCTGTGCCCAGCCTGTAGCACTGCAGGGGGTTGTTGTGGCCAAAGTGCAGGACCCAGCATTTGACCTTGTTGAACCTCATCCGATTGGAATCAGACCATCTATCCAGCTTGTTCAGGTCCCTCTGCAGAGCTCTCCTGCCTTCCAGCAGATCAACACTCCCCCCAGCTTGGTGTCATCTGCAAATTTGCTAATAGTGGACTCAACCTCCTCATCCAGATCATCAATAAAGATATTAAACAGGACTGGGCCCAACACTGATCCCCAGGGGGACACTACTTGTGACCAGCTGCCAACTGGATGCAGCCCCATTCACCACCACTCTCTGGGCCCGGCCCTCCAGCCAGTTCCTAACCCAGCACAGAGTGCTCCTGTCCAAGCTGTGGACTGCCAGTTTTTTCAGTAGAATGCTGTGGGAGACGGTGTCAAAGGCTTTGCTGAAGTCCAGATAGACACATCCACAGCCTTCCCCTCATCCACCAGGCAGGTCACCTGATCATAAAAGGAGATCAGGTTGGTCAGACAGAACCTGCCCCTTCTAAGTCCATGCTGGCTGGGTCTGATCCCTTGTCCATCCTGTAGGTGTTGTGTGATTGCACTTAAAACAATCCGCTGCATAACCTTGCCAGGCACTGAGGTCAGGCTGACAGGCCTGTAGTTTCCCGGGTCCTCCTTCAGACCCTTTTTGTGGATTGGTGTGACATTCACCAACTTCCAATCATCTGGGACCTGCCCAGTGAGCCAGGACTGTTGGTAAATGATGGAGAGTGGCTTGGCGAGCTCTTCCGCCAGCTCCCTCATCACCCTAGGATGGATGCCACCTGGTCCCATAGACTTGTGAGGATCCAAGTGGTTTAGCAAGTCGCTAACTGTTCCCTCCTGAATTACAGAGGGGCTATTCGGCTACCTGTCTCTGTCTACCAGCTCCAGAGGCCAATTGTTCTGAGGACAACCTGTCTTACTGCTGAAAACTGAGGCAAAGAAGATGTTAAGTACCTCAGCCTTTTCCTCATCTTTGGTGACTATGGTCCCCCCCCATGTCCAACAAAGAGTGGAGGTTTTCCTTGCCCCTCCTTTCGCTACTGTATTTGTAGAAGCACTTCTTGTGGCTAACAGATGTGGCTAGATTGAGTTCAAATTGTGCCTTTGTCTCTCTAATTTTCTTTCTACATGACCTAACTATATTCCTAAACTCTTTGTGAGCAGCCAGCCCTTTTTTCCATAGCCAGTAAGCTCTCTTTTTTCCCCCAATTTCCTTCAAAATCTCCCTGTTCAGCCAGGCCAGTTGTCTTCCCTGACAGCTTGCCTTTCAGCACATTGGGACGGCCTGCTCCTGTGCGTGCAAGACTTCCTCCTTGAAGCATGTCCATCCCTCCTGGACCCCTTTGTTTTCAGGGGCTGTTTCCCCAGGTACCCTATGAACCAGTCTTCTGAGTAGGCCAAAATCTGCCCTCCAGAAGTCCAGCGTAGAGGTTTTATTGATGGCCCTCCTTGCATCCCTGAGCATTGAAACCTCTGTCATTTCATGGTCACTGAAAGGCCCCAGATGGCCTCCAACCACCACATCTCCCACCAGCCCCTCTCTGTTTGTGAACAGCAGGTCTAGTGGGGCCCCATCCCTGGTAGGCTCATTTACCAGCTGGAGGAGGAAATTATCCTCTATACACTCTAGGAATCTCCTGGACTGCCTCTTCTCTGCTGTGTTGAGTTTCCAGCAGACATCCAGAAGGTTAAAGTCGCCCACAAGAACAAGGGCTGGTGATTTTGAGACATCCACCAGCTGCTTGTAGAATAATTCATCACCCTTGTCATCCTGGTTGGGTGGTCTGTAACAGACTCCCACCAGGATACCAGCCTTGTTGGCCTTCCCCCTGATTCTGATCCACAGACACTCAGCCTTATCATTACTGACCTCAAGTTCTACAGTCAAGAGACTCTCTAACATATAGAGCCACCCCTCCACCTCTCCTACCCTGCCTGTCCCTTCTGAAGAGCTCACAGCCACCCATGGCAGCACTCCAGTCATGCGAGTCATCCTACCACGATTCCGTGATGGTGACTACAGCACAGCTTTCCCGCTGCACGATGGCTTCCAGCTCCTCTTGTCTGTTACCCACGCTGTGTGCGTTGGTGTACATGCACTTCAGCTGGGCTGCTGATTTCACTTCTAACTCTGGCTTTCCACCCTCAGGGTCATCTCTGGATAGCCTGGTTTCAACCTCTTCCCCCTTCAAACCTAGTTTAAAGCCCTCCTGATCAGCCTCAACAACTTATGGGCTAGAGTTCTATTGCCCTTGCAAATATATAATTACGCCTAACTATTAATCCCATTTAGTAAACAGCAGATTTCTAATGTTATCTCTTAGATATGATGTGGTTTTTTTCCATGTATTCCTTTGCAAATCATATTTCTTCATCGCTCTTGATCAGTAGCATTTAGAATCTAGAATCTAAAATACGATGCAATATGTATGTAATGCCATTACAGTACGTATTTCTGTAGATATCTCTCATAAATCTATCTTCATTATATATACCTAATATCTATAAATACATATAAACAAATATTTCTATCATATATACATAAATATCAACTGTATGAGTACCATGGATGCATACTTGCATGTAAATTTTAGACTGGTAATGGAAAAAAAGGATCCTGTTGCATCTGAACACGTGTAACCATTAACTTTTACAAAACAGACACCTGAGAGAATCCTAAAACAGTTAAAGAACTCCATTCAGTATATATTCTACCAAGAATAACAAGATCTCATTATTAAAGTAGTTCTCTTTTTAGTTCTCTTTTTCTAGAACTGTTCTACAATTTAGCGCACTTTTCTGTGAAAATCTAGGTATAGAGCATTTAAGAATATGAGCACAGAATGCAAAGACTTCCACAGAATCACATAAAGCTAATTTACTTCTTTCACACAAAAGACACAAACTGAAGAGACAGAATTTCGCAGATCAGGAATAAAGAATCCCATATTTTCTATGAAGTGCCAAGCACACTATTATTTCCTAAGAAAATAAAGAAATAAATCAGAAACTAAAATTTTCAAAGTTTTTCAAGCATGTCCACTTCGATAACTGGATGACTTCTACATGATGCAGAGCTCCCGCAAAGTCAGTAGCAATTAAGAGAATTCATAAGTGTGTAGTATTAGATTATTAATCAGAAATAGTCTTACAAAATGTAATAAATCACTTTGGAACCCAAAAGACAATGAAATTCTTCAGATAAGCACCCATATATATTTATGACCATATTCTTAAAGCAAGCCCATCCATGTTTTTGTTTACTTATTTTATGTTTTGTTTGTTTATCTATTTCAACCAATCTGCATGTAACACTTTATTTAAAGCTTCCTTTCTAACATGGCCTTATAAACAGGATTTTTCTGCTTATACATTACACTGTACAGATACTTTCCAATACTACCATGATCACAACCTCTTTTCTTCCATACCTTATGTCTTTCTAAAGAAGGAAAGAAAAGATGAAGGAGCTATTGACTTGTATCTCAGTTTCATAAGTCGAACAGTAGCCCTTGAAACTTTGTCAACTGCCTTTGATGAGCAAATCATGCTTGCAGATAGCTAAGCTCAGTATCTGCAGTATTCAAGATATTTCCTACAATAAGCATAAGCAAGTACAAATAAATACTATGGTATAAAGGAACCTGTATTTTTTCAGCTTAGGAAAAACAGAGTCTTTTATTTTGCCAATACCATCATTAGTCTTAAACATGCCAGACTGAATTTACTACATTTCCTTGTACCTCTTTGGGCACAACATCACTACATCCATACAACAACAACCAAAAAAATCAGTTAACTGGGTTTGGAAACATGCTTTGCTTTATTTCCTACCTGAAGAATGTAGCCTCGAACATAGTCTCGAAGTGTCCAGCCTAAGCCATGTAGAATATGCAACACCTCCTCTTGCTTCAGTACACTGAAAAGTCGATCAAGCAGTATCTTCAGTCGCACAGGGACAGCCTGAGTGCCGTAGAGCATCAAGCTGCTGATGTCAAACACAACATTGGACTGCACAATCTCCACTTGGGTTGGGTGGTAGAGATGCTGAGTACTAAGTTTGTCCAAGGCTGAAAGAAAAGGGTCAAGTATAAGTAAAGAGTAAAGAAAAGACAAGAAAACAACCCCAAAGCATCATGTATACACATCATATTTGGCAGATGCACTTATTTTTCAGAGAAATATCACCTGGATGATTCACAGAATCACAGAATGGTTTGGGTTGGAAAGGAGCTTTAAAGATCATCTAGTCCAAACCCTCTGCCATAGGCAGGGACATCATCAACTAGACCAGGTTGCTCAAAGTCCCGTCCAAACTGATCTTGAATATTTCCATGGATGGGGCATCTACAACCCCATTGGGCAACCTGTTCCAGTGCCTCATCAGCCTCATTGTAAAAAATTTCTCCTTTATATCTAATCTAAATCTACTCTCTTTCAGCTTCATGTCCTTGTCAGAAGTCCCTCTCCAGCTTTTTGTAGGCCTCCTTTCAGCACTGAAAGGCTGCAATAAGGAGACCCTGGAGCCGTGCCCAAGTTTCTTTTCAACTCTTCCCCAGGCTGAAGAACCCCAACTCCCTCAGCCTTTTCTCACAGGAGAGGTGCTTCGTCCCTCTGATCATCTTAGTGTCCCTCCTCTGGACTCGCTCCAAAAGGTCCATGTCTGGGGACCCCAGAGGTGGATGCAGTACTCTAGTGAGGTCTCAGCAGAACAGAATGAAGGGGCAGAATCACCTACCATATCCTGCTGGCCATGCTTCTTTTGATACAGCCCAGGATAAGGTCAGCTTTCTGGGCCGCAAATGCACATTGCTGGCTCATGACCAGCTTCTTATCCACTCAGGTACCCTGAGTCCTTCTCTGAAGGGCTGCTCTCAGTGAGTTCATCCCACAGTCTATACTCATGCCTGGGAGTGCCCCAACCCTGGTACAGGACCTTGCACTTGGCTTTGCTGAACTTCATGAAGTTCCCATGGAACCATCTCCTCAAGTTTGTCCAGGTCCCTCTGGTTGGCATACTGTCCTTCAGGTGTATCAGCCACACCACTCAGCTTGGTGTCTTGTGCATATTTGCTGATATTCTCACTATGTTATTGATGAAGATATTAAACATAATTTTCCCAGTATGGACCCCTGACTCATCACTCCTCATCAATGACCCCACTCATCACTAACGGTGCAGTCCAAAACAGGACTTCCACAGATGCAGTCCAAAACAGGACTGGTTTCCAAAGGTCACAAATAATTTTTAATTCCTATGGTAAAAGGTTGCTCAGCTGAGACTCAGAGACTACAATACACATAGTTCAAGAGAAATTTATGATTAAATGATGACCAAGACTGAGGCTATCCAGAATTGACTGAGACTGTTAAAGGTTTGATACTTAATCTCTAGAGGAAAAAAAGAAAAGATACACCCTAAACCCCCATTTTTAAACATGTTAAAAGTAAATCCCCTGATGTACCATAAATTCCATCAGGAATTCACTACTACTTGAGTTGGTTAGTTTTTTCACCTCACACAAATTTAGAGATAAAGCGAAGGGAAGTTTACAGGACGAAGGTAGTCAAGCTCTCGTGAAGTTACGTAAGAAGGAACTGCATATGACATCACACATTTTACTGACTACCAGTGTTCAAATTTAATTTTATTTCTATTTTATGGACTAGGCTGCAGTACCTAAAATACTTACTGCTTTTTAAAGAAAAATTTCTAAGCATTTAAAATAATCTTATAGGGACTTCTCTTGTACTTTGGTTTCTTCTTGGTTTATAGTCACTAGAGAGTTCATGTACTCTTGATAAATTGCTTTTGTACATATAGAGCACAAAGGCCCTTATCATTTACTCGCTGGTTTCATTCAACACATTTACTCCAAGGACTACATTGTCAAAGAGTTCTGATTTCCTCATACTTCATTTCTTGCAACTGATTTTTCTAATCTTTTCTATTCTAGTGGCTAAGTCAACTTTGAATAAATAGCTTTAATATTAATTTAACATTCAAACAAGATAATGAATTAGCAAGGCTAGGGACTGCAGTCCTGTGTGTCTCCATAGGACATTTATACTGAAGAATATGAAGGCTGAGATTTTTTTCTTCCAAAAGCTCTTCTTCTGAAGTACTTTGGCTATATAGGCTTCATGAAGTGGAATGATTTATTTACAAAGTCTAATGAATGGGATTTGATATTTTTCTAAGGTGGTTTTTTTGCTTATACCATACCAGATGTGTCCTCAAAGTTCTCAGTAAGAAAAGCCGAGAAAATTGATCTCGTTACTTTGCAGGTTGCGCCGTATGTGTGTTAATATGTATGTATGTGTACCTGGGGGACAGCACAACCCTTTGGAAGGAGTAAAAAAAATTAATTGTTTTCTAATAGATATAACACCTTCTACCAGACTATTGAAATTATTGAGTGGATCTGGATCACCTTGAACTTTCCACCTTCAGTCTTACAGAATGAGAACAGTGTCCAAAGACGTTAACTGGCTTCTCCAAGTTTAGACAAATTCAGACCAGAGCCAAGACATGAACGGATATTTTCTGAATACTCAGTGCTTTTTAATCACTGCATCATACTATATTTCTAATATATCTAATATTTGTTGTTGTTTCTCTCTACTTAACAGTAAATACTATGCCCACATAGTGAGGAAAAACAAGTTCTTCCAGCCAAGGAAGGCTTGTCTTGCTGAAGATTTTAAGGTCATTATTCCACTGTGATCTAAGTCAAAATGACTAAAGGACATCTTTATCTAAAGGCTATTGGGTGGATTACAAAACTAATAGCTAGAATGAGATTACAAAACTCTGTGGACATATACTCACTTCACGTAGTGTGACCACTCTGAAGATAATAGCTTTGGAAAGCCTGAGATGGAATAGAAGTCGAAAAGAAATAAAAAAGGTCCTTCAAATTACTAAGCACAGTATCTGACCAGTGGACAGAAACTTCTACAAGATAACCTGTACTGGTCCATTCAACTGCAATATTTGTTTTCAAGTAGTATTATCTATAGATATCTGATTCTGAAAACACATGCATGAATAAAAATTAGTATCATGTTAGAATACCATTCCAAATGACAGTGAAATTATCTCCAATTTTGATTCGTGGTCTTATTCTGTATATTATGTAATAAACAAATAAGCAATGAAGTTTATCCTTTTAAAGTAGAAGACAGGATGTGCACTGAAATGTGTAATTTATAACACAGCAAAACATATATTATTGTATGGGTGCATAAGAACATTTGCAAGCTAAAGACAGACCTCACGTTACATGGAAAAAAAAAGGTTGTAAATGAAAAGAAATGAAAGGAAACACAGTTATGTTCATATGAGAAACAACAGAATCATAAGAATCTGAAATTCTTTCAAACCATTGACTACTCACACCCCTTCAACTTGTCATGAAAATGAAAATTTTCACTCCAATTTGTAATTTATAAAAATTTTCTTGTTTCTTTAAAAGACAATGCTAAGGAGAATTTGATCACTCCTCTGGTACCCTTAGTGAACTAATGTCAGTGCTCTAGGTGTATTCAAGAGGCCATTCATATTGATAGACAGATACTTTTTCAGGTAAGACATAAGAAAAGACCTTTCTCATTGTTTTTCCTATAAGAGTATTAGCTTTCTGATTCTTGACAAATCTCAGAGTAGATAGTTGTATTCTGCTGTCCTGAATTGCTCACATGACTTTATGTGGATAATGCATTCCTCATCATATTCTGTTCTAAACTATTTGTTTAATTTATACATGCTAATGAACAATGCCCCGTTTCACAAGTGAATACATTCAACAGTATCTGCAGCAGCGTATGACTTAAATGCTTAGGAGGCTTCAAGATTAAATATGCTATATAAAAGAATGTGTTTTATTATACCTGGAAAATAACATAAACAGATGTGTCATTATTAAGAAGTTATCAGTGACTGATCATAAAGCACACATTAAAAGTCCATTCAAGGTGCAATGTGAGGTATTACTCAGATTTTGTACAGTTTCAGTGGGATCAAAAGTTCACATATAAAAGTCTTAACATGTTTGTGACGTTTTGGTTGTAACCTGCACAATCTTTTCCAAAAATGCGACTATGATGGGATCAGTTATGTGCTTAACTAAGAAAGATTCCTTTTCTTAACAGCCCTGTTTAATCTTAGCACTGTCTTGATAGTCTGATATTCTTTAATTCAATATAAGTGGAAAGGTGTTCTCTGATACAGGAAGAAGAGATCCAAGGGATCTTAAAATCACGTACTTGCTGAGCATTTAAGATTTTCATGGAATGGCCTAAAAAGACCCTTGTGCTTTACTTTGACAACATTCACTTGAGTAATATTTCTGTGGTGAATTCCAAATTTCAAGTACTTGTTTCAGAAATTTGTACCATTTAAAAAAAGGGAGGCCAAAAAGGATTATAAAGAAGTAGAAGACATGACAGAAGACTGCCTTCAACACCCAAAAATTACCAACTGGATAATTAGTATAGGAATTAGGGACCTTTCAGCAATGTTTTTCCAGTATCAAGTATGCACCATAATAATTTAGAATATTTCAGTTGGAAGGGACCTGTAATGATTACCTAGCCCAACTGCCTGACCACTGCAGGGTTGCTCATCATTTAAAGCATATTAAGAGGCATTTTCCAAATGCCTCTTAAGAAGGGAGAGTCTTGGGGCATCGACCACCTCTCTAGGAAGTCTGTGGTTTGACCACCCTCTTTGTAAATAAATGCTTCCTAATGTCGAGCCTGAACGTTCCCATGTTGGCTTATTAACTCTTTACCTTCTGGAATAGTAAACAAAATCCCCAAGATTTTAGAGAGAATCTACTCAGTATAATCTGAATTGTAAAGAGAACTTTGAAGTTATTTCAATATCAATCTTCATATTACAGCCTGAAGTATTCTTATTATGCAAAATTCCAGTAAAAAAATCTTTATACCTATTTGTAAAAACTCAACGAATAAACTTTTATGTTCCATTTGTAGGTTGTTTTTTTTTTTAAATGTAGTAAAATGGGAAGGGGAAATCTACTCCATCAATTATATTTTTTTACTG